GAGAGGAAAATTAGGTCAAGTGCTTAGAGCTAATTATTGGAGTCCTGGGTCCAACTAAAGAATATTACTTCAGAGTGACTTGGGCATGAAGTCAACATGATGCCAACTGGAAAAACTTAAGAGCCCATGGTCAAAACATCACTACACACCATGTATCCTATAATGAGGGTTATTCTGGTGGGCAGGGCACCGAGTGTTTTCATGCATTGATATGCCGTCTCACAAGAACTAAGCCACAGTCCCCTCATCTCTGTGCTCTGCTGTGTAGACGCTCTGAACTGCCTCTGAGGGGTTGTGGGAGGTCAAGTGTAGGATGGTGGCATGCTTTGCGATATACCCAGGAACCTCATTCTTGACTCCTTTCCCAACTTCTATTTTATATAGACATTACTGACACACAGCACGGATTCAAAGCATCCCTTGATGAAATTACTGTTAGTATCATAGGCTCCACCATCAAACCAGAGCTACAAGGTTTGTTTTTATTTTTCCTTCTCTGAACTGGAGATAACATCTCTGTTGCAATGTACCTTTACTCAATGGGACCTGACTGGTGACTGCAGGGTAAAGGACAAAACACTGAGAAATGCAAGCCAAGTGCCAGGTCCTGCCTGCGGAGGGGCCCTTGCTCAGAAATAGCTCAAGGCACTTAGACTATGAATGAAAGAAAAGGGAACTAATGAAGTACACACATGACAGGTGTGACCAGGAAATGGTGGACCAGGTAAGGGATCCAGGACAAAAGCCCTGAGAGAGCCTAGAGCGCACTACATTGGCTCACACTGGGCTGGCCTGTCCCTCTGCAACCCATTAACCAATTGCCTCTGGGGGCCCTCTATGCAGTGGAGTCTCAAGACCAGGAAATGGTGGACCAGGTAAGGGATCCAGGACAAAAGCCCTGAGAGCCTAGAGCGCACTACATTGGCTCACACCAGGGCTGGCCTGTCCCTCTGCAACCCATTAACTAATTGCCTCTGGGGGCCCTCTATGCAGTGAAGTCTCAAAGGAAGTCAGGCAAACTTGCCTCAGTTTTTCTCCACAGACTAAGTAGGAGGTGACTAAAAGTGTGCAGCTCAGAGCCACACAGATCCCCAGTGCCTCAGAACTGATAGCCAGAAGCTAGCTGGGTGCTCAGATAAGGGTGGGCCAATGTCAACTACTCTCTAGTTTTCTAGAAGGAAGAAAATGACTTTACAAGACATGGTGGTGGAGCGGGCACAGGTAGAGAGCATTCAGTGGCTGTGACTTGGGGAAGGATCTCTACATTTAAAATCAAGCCTCACAGTAGACTTAGAGTGGCTGCAGGGTCATAAGCCAAGAGAATCATTGACCCATATCCACTAACGTGAATGGAAGCAGTTGACTTCAGAGGCCAAGGGAGGAAAATTAAGTGCTTAGAACTAATTATTGGAGTCCTGGGTTCAATTAAAGAATATCGTTTCAGAGTGACTTGAGCATAAAGCCAACATGATAATGTCAACCAGAAAGCACTTAAGAGCCCATGGTGAAAACATTGCATGTATCCTATAATGAGGGCTAGTGTGGTGGGCAGGGCACTGAGCATTATCAGGCATTGATGATGCAGCCACACAAAAACCAAGGCAGACTCACCTCATCTGTGAGCTTCAGCTACGTAGACACACCGAACTGCCTCAGAGGGGGTGGGAGTGAAGTGTAGGATGTCCACGCTTTACGGTGCGTTCGATCCCCTGGAGTTTGATTGCTTTCTCGACTTCTATGTTATACAGCTTCTGCTCTTACACCATATAAAATGTCTCTCAATGAAACTGCTGTTACTCCTGAGGACTCCAGCCACGTGCCAGAGATACAAGGTTTGTTTGTATTTTTCCTTATCTGAACTGGAGTCTCTGTTGTGATACAACTTTATACAGTGGAAGCTGATGTGCGACTGCAGGGAAAATGACAAAACATAGAGAAATGCAAGCCAAGTGTCAGGTTCCTCCTGCAGAGGGGCTCTTGCTTCTGAATTATCTCAAGGGAATGAGACTATGAATGAAAGACATGGAAACACACATGACAGATGAGATCCGGAAATGGTGGAACAGGTGAAGGGATCCAGGATGAAGCCCTGAGAGAGCCTGGGGAAACCGAGCTGGCTCATACCTAGGTTAGTCCATCCCCCTGTAGACAAGTGAATTGCCTTTAGGGGCCTCTAGGCTATTAATTTTCAAAGGAAGTCAGTCAAACTTGCCTCTCAGTGTGTCTCAGTGAGTGAGTGCACAGCTCGGAGCCAGACAGAACCGCAGCGCCTCAGAACAGATAACCATAAGCCAGTTGGGTGCTCAGATAAGGGTGGGCTGGTGGCAGCCACTTTCTGTTTAGTTTTGTAGAGGGAACAGGATTTTATGAGACCTGGTTAAAAGCGAAAAGGTAGAAGGATTTCAGTGAGTGTGACTTAGGGAAAGATGTCCACATGGAAAATAACACCTGTGACTAGACTTAGAGTGACTGAAGGATCCTAAGTGGGTGCAGTCATTGACCAGTATCCGCTAAGATGAAGGCAAATCGTTGATTTCAGAGGCCAAGGGAGGAAAATTAGGCTAAGTGCTTAGAACTGGTTTTTGGACTTGTGGGGCTGATTAAAGAATGTCAGTGAAGGATGACTTCAGCGTGAAGTCAACGTGATGATGTCGAACTGGAAAACACCTAAGAGCCCGTGGCAGACGATCCTTCTTGCCACGTATCCTATGATGTTGGTGGGGCAGGGCACTCGGTATTTTCATGCAGCAGTTAATTCAGCCTCAAAAGAACTCTGAGATATACAAATTATGATTCTTACTTTCCCTGAGAGAATAGTAAAGGAAAGAGAAATTAAGTAATTTGCCTAAGACCACACATTAGCACACATCCTCATGACTGAAAGCCTACCTTGTTTAATTCAAAGCTTGTATGCTCTGCCCCAAAGACATATTTCAATGAACCTCTACGCATAAACCCTGGAGAATGACAAAATATTGCCCAATCCTTGGCCACGTGATATCATGACGTATGATACAATTATTTGCAATAAATTCAGGAAACTGTGCCTCTGGTAGTGAGATGCAAAGAAAGAAACCTGTGCTGTAGATGGGTAGGGGAAGGTTAATTCTTCTGGGACTTTAAGGCATCTCTGCTAGAATTTTCTATAGACAGAAAATCCAGTGGGACTCTTGGTAAGTGTTCAAAGAGGAGGCCGTGAAGGTTCGGGTTCAGACGTTGGTTGTGGATTTGAGAATCTCTAGACTCTCAAATCTAGAGAACTGATAGCCGCACGTGCTCACCCCTTTGGGTTGGACTAGAATCTGTTTGGAGTGCTGAGTTCCCTTCTCACCATTTTTCAATACACTGCTTCCTGTGGAGGACGACAGGTGGCCCCTCCAATATTTTCTCACAACCTTCCAAGCAGTTAATGAGAGGGTTTGCAGGTTTCTAACCCATGAATGTCTCTTGGGTAGTAAAAGCCAACACTGAAATTACCAATGGTAAGAATGACACATTTCCTACTGAATTTTGCTAGCTTAATGTTTAAAGATGGCCAGTAACTCCCAAAACATGGTTAAGAAAAGAAATTCCCTAATTCTAATGTGCATTTTTAAAGATATATCTTGATAATTTTGACTTACTTTGAAAATTTGGTTTTTCAGGACAAAGACAAATTGAGCACCTTTTTTCTGAACCGGGTATGTTGATATGTATTTTTAAATGATAATCATTCCATTGTAAATTGTATAGTGCTAGTTTTGAATACCTAAGAAATAAGAATGGTTCATTTTTTAAAAGAGCATGTGTCATTAGCCACATGCTAGTTGTTAAGGCAATTCAGATATTCTTGATAAATATTATCAAATTTAAAAGAAGCATTACTTACTTTTTTATTTTTATTATTATTATTTTGGTCTTTTTCAGACAAGGTCTCCCTGCTGGCCTGGAACTTGCTATGTAGACCAAGCTGGCCTGGATCTCACAGAGATCCACCTACCTCTGCCTCCCAAGTGTCGGGATTAAAGGCATGTGCCATCACTCCTGGCATTACCTAATTTTTAAACTTTGGAAATAGCAATACATAATTTGATCTTTTTTTTTTCTTAAGTTTGATTTTGTAGTTTTCTAATCAACTATAGATATTTGAGAAAAGTCTCTTCATTTGTAAAGCTAGTTAAATTTTACTCATTCCTAATGTAGAGAAAATAAAGAACTTAATAATCACCTAATTAATTCGTGCCATATCAAAAATAAATAAAGAACATTCAGGCCTGTTCACCTTTGCCTTATCTTTACCACATCCAGTACACTTAATGTCATGCCCCCTGACCTTAGGAGCTGCTGCGGACCTAGTGTGTTACACTTATGTGCTCGTTCACTACTCTGTCATTTTTAACTCTCCCTTCACACTTATGTCCACATTTCACGTGGGAGAAAAGATGTGTGGTTGAGTTTCATCAGCAGTCTCACAAGTGACAGCTAAGTACTGGAGAAGGCTGGGCAACGTGAGTGGATGGGAAGCTATGCCATAGAAAAATTAAGAATAGGTATTTGAGACACAAATCGGCCCTATGAATGTACCATTTTATTAGTATGTCTAGACTTCAGTTATGTTTACTTCATTGAGCAGCGCTAAGAATACACTGTATTTCTCCAACATTTGATGTAAATTACTTCATTCCCAATAAACTAAAAATTGGAAAATTATGTGTCACTGTATTTGTATGCCATGGAAGAGGCAAAAATTTAGAAGGCAGGTGACCCGTGTCGTAGTTAATGATCTACTTTTAACTATTATTTGACCTCTACTAAGTAGTTTGCCTTCTTAGACTTCATTTATTTATTTGTGTGTTGTTTATACTAGTTTCCTTCCAAACCTATAATTCTATGATCCACCTGATACATTAAAACATTTTCTCTCATAACGTTCAGACCATGAAAGAGTCTGCGGTTTTCCCTATCGAGGTACAGTACCCCTATAATTCTTATCTATGATTATGCCTGTAGTGAACACTAAACTTGAAATCAGAGTTCTGGGGTCTTGATCAGTCACTCACTTGTTGTGTGACTTTGGATAAAAGATTTATCATACAAAGTTCCAGTTTCCCATAAGATTACTGTCCAAAACCCACGATCTTAAAGACTATGCATAAATTATGAAGTATTAATGCATCCCTATAGAGAGATAAAGTGACAATACCCTGCTTGATATGCAGTAATTCATTTTGCACTGTTTTTCTCTTTTTGTCTCCTGCAGTAATGATATTGATCATTTTGGGGGTGATGGCTGGTATCATTGGAATTATCGTTCTTATTTCTTTCATCATCGGCCAATTGACAAGAGTAAGAATTCAATTTTCCACTTTGCCTTAAATGTAGGGCTTTATTCTTCTGAGTACAATTAGACAGGAAGGAAAACAAAATAGGGTAAAACACTATCCTTTCAACTGGGCATGCAAAGCCACCAATTCCTCTAGCAGAATTGGTTTTGCTTTGCCAAATTTAGACTAACTCCTGCATGTAAATCTATTCCCCATGTTACCAAGGAAGGTTCCCCGCAGTTCTTGTGTCGTGCAGTTTGCTATACTTTGATGGCTATAGATGAGATGGCCAGGTTTCTACTTGTGTTTAATTTTTATATCAAATATGCTATTCTTAGATACACTCAAAAATTCTGTATTTTTTCCTTTTATAAAAGACTTTTTAAAATGTGTGTGTGTGTGTGTGTGTGTGTGTGTGTGTGTGTGTATATACCTTTGACAGTTTATGTGTCCCACTTAATTGCAGGTTCCTGGAGAGGCCAGAGTACATAAGATTCACTAGAACTAAAGTTAACAGGTAGTTGTGAGTCATCCTGTATGGGTGCTGGGAACTGAAACTGGGACCTCTGGCAGAGTAGCCAGTGTTCTTAACCGCTGAGCATCTCTCCAATCTCATTTCTACTTATTTCTATTCTCATCATTCCTGAAATAAAATTTTCAAAATCCAACCATGAATTTTTACCATGTGATTATTTTAATTGTTAAAGATATTTTAAACAATGTGTTACACAACTTTTCAAAGCACATGAAATTCTAAGACTTTAAAGACACAAAATCTGTGTGTGTGCTTATGATGCCATCACTGAACCTGTAATTCCATATCCTGAGCACCTAATCAGATAACACGAACTGCTGGGCATTTACTGTCTTCCGTTTTTAATCTCTCCCTATCTCTCCACCATAAGCATGAGCTGTACTGTTTTTATATAACTTATTTAGAGGGGTAACTGTGCTCTCATAGCAGGGCTATAACACTCAAAATGACAGGACATCTATTGGGGTTTTTTTTTCCACAACTTCACCTACTCCTATAATTGCCATAATCATCCAATCTGATTACTGATTTAATTATTCAATGTAAATGTGTCTTCTCTAGGTAACGCTTTGTCAATAATGATTGCAAGTTCATTATCTGTAACAATTTCAGTCTTTTGTTAGTTATGGATGTTTGCCATTTTATGAGCTATCTTGTAAGGACATGGATAAGAGACGGTTTCTCTTGTCTGAAGTATGCACATTACAGAAAAGTCATCTTCTGTTTAAAAATCTGTGACAAATTGAGTAGCTGTCTCGCTCAGTTGGTGTTCAAACCCATGATAGTCCCCATATGCTTACTTAACAATATTAACAGAATATTCCCTCTCTACACATAACAGAACTATACTCTGTCAATATGACTCCGAAATCATACCTACTCCATTTTTATGATAGTTCTGTTACAGCAGGGACTATGGATAAGTCAATCTACAGAATAATATTATGTTTGTTGAATACCAAATACCACCTAGAAATGTAATATAAATTTATATCGATGTTTACAAATGTCTATAGAATAGTGACTTTTTCCAATAAAATTGTACAAAGTGAATTTTAATCCAAAGAAAAGAACTTTAGAAAAACATTTTAATCTGAGGCATTTTAATTTTCAGTGTGTCCTTAACTTAGAAAATGTTAGTGATATGTTCCTGGTTTTTATTTATAGAAAAGTAGACTTGACATCCAGCCTCCCACATCTGAAGAAACAGATGTGCCTTTAAGCTCTGTTGAAGCAGGGCATCCAGGTAGGTGGTAATATTTAGATTGTTTTTTTGCATTTGGGGAAATGAAATGAATTGATGAATTACATCTTTCTGTGTTGTGGGGGAGAAAAAACCCAATAGGGGTAATTTATTCTCTATTTCATCAATGTTACTTTCATAAGACTGCTTTTTTTAAGGTGAAAATTGACCATAACTTAAGGAAGATCTGTAGGTATAGATTATGTTACAGAAAAGTACAACAAATTCCAAACGTAAAAGAGAAAACAATTTTTGCTTATTTCTGGAGCTGTGAAGTGATCTGTATAGGAGGCACTGCAGTGGTTACCCTGGATCGTTTCAGCTGTGGAGGCAGTGTGTCTCTGAGTCTAGGCCCATCACTTAGCTAATTAACCTTGAACCAGCTGCCAAATCTCTTTTGACATGAAGATAGCTGTGGTCCTAAGCTCACAGAGTTTGGGGAGGAGTAAATGAACTGCAGTAGCTAAAGAAAGCAGTTAAAGTCACATGTCTATGACTCTAGCAGGCAGAACACTAAGGGACAAGAATTAGGGATTGAAGGCCAGTCTGTGTAGTGAGAGCCTCAGGCAAAAGTGAGAAGGGAGGGAGGGAGGGACCAGCTTGAGCTAAGAGGAAAAGAAAGAAAAGGAAAGAAAGAAAGAAAGAAAGAAAGAAAGAAAGAAAGAAAGAAAGAAAGAAAGAAAGAAAGAAAGAAAGAAGAAAGAAAAGAAACAGAAAAGAAAGAAGGAAAAAAGGAAACCATTTATAACTATTCTTGGCCACATGAAATGCACATGCCTATTAGTGGTCGTCAGCCCTTAGACCACATTCCCGCACCCCTGTACCAAATCACTTGGCCCCTGCTTTTACTTCCACATCCAGGTACTAATTGGTATATATGTGGAAGATTTCAAGGACATTTTGTTCATTTAGAATGGTATTGATGCACAAGATGTCATTGTTTGTTTAAAGAGAATTTATTGTCAACCTTAAAACATGGGAGATTTTATATCTTGTGGGGGAGGAAGGTGCTGGTATTACCTTTGGAAAAAACTGTAAACCTTAATCACACTGGGAACCTCTATACCAGCAAATAAGCAATTCATAGGAGCCGAGCACTGGATGGAGCCTCTTCCCCCAGCCAATATCATTGATTTTCTTCATTAGAGCTTTGGTATCACCTCACTAGGAGTATATAGTTCACAAACCCAAACAGTGTTTTTTCTACCCAGAACAATGAGTTTGAATGCTCAAAATCAATTAAATTTTCCTCATAATCATTAAAACCCATGACAGGTGAACACAATTTCAAGCTCATTTTATTTCCAATATTTGTATAATGAAATTTTTCAGTGTTTTAGTAAGTTAGTGAAATGTGTTAAAGAGTCTGAACCTATTTCAAAGGAGGTGTGAGAAAACACAAAACCGTTAAAGGTGCTTTTCTCCTACTTTATGTACTACTGTTGTTCCAACTGTTTCACAAAACAAAGGTCTAAGAGGCCAGAAGGACTCCGCTGTCTCAGTAAGAAGACATGTCAAAGAGTAAGTAGAGCATGCAGTGCTTTAGTGTCTCTCAACACACACACGATGGGCTTGTTGAGAAATGAGAATAAGTGAGGATGAGTAACAGCCCACTGTGGGATCGTCATGTGACCCCACCAGCCCATTTCTCACTGGGACTGTTTGAGGTGCAGTTCCTGTGGTACCCAAATGCAAGAAGATGGGAAATGCTCTGTTTTGTGAGAGCAGGTGCTCTCTCCATCCCTTTCATGCACTCCCTGGGATAAGACATAACCTAAATCCAACCTCCCAAACAAGAAGGTGTAGCTAGGGGTGTAAGGGGGAGACTAGCTTAGTACCTTTCTTCAAGCATTGTAGTCAGAGAGACCTGCAGCAATAATCTTCTGTAGAAAAGAAAAGAAAAAGTTCTTGCTAAGGAAAATCCTACAGGCTTGGGCGCCAGGCTCCCATTTGACCACTTGCATACTGGTCAATTTATTTCTTTATTCCCTTGGTACTGTGCCCTGAACTCACCCGCTCTGCGAGTTTCTCAACTCTGGAGAAATAAGAAACAGACTAATTGCATAAATTCCTCTCCTAAGCCTTCTAGAATAAATTTCAAAAGAAAAACCTGTGTGTTTCTTTAAAAACCCTACAGTGTAGCTAATCTGAAGGAGATAGTGTACTAATTATAATGACTATTCTAAGACTGTAGAATCCTGGTACTTACTTTGTGCAATAATCTCCTTTTGTTTAAAATATAACTATATCTTGTTCTACTGTTTTTATCAGCACCCCCCAATCATTCTACAGAGGAATAATCAATGAGAATGTGCTTAGCAAGCCAAATTTTGAAAGAACTCAAAAAACACACAGGACCAGTCAATGGAAAAATTGGACACTTCAATAATCTGCCTATGTTGTACCATTGCAAGAAGAAAATTTCATCATGATGAATTTCAGTGACTCAACCACAGGGAAAAAAATCTCAGCTCATTTATACAAGATAAAGAACACATGTTTCCTTATATGCCTGATTTTGTTATAGTATCATGTTTATAATTACTTGTCTAGGAATTCTGGTTCAAAATTTCAAGGTGATAGTATAATGTTTATAATTACTTGACTATGGATTCTGGTCCAAAATTCATCTGCTGTTCATTAAGACTGACATTCTGTTCTGATCTGCTCCGCTCCGCTCCGTTCCGCTCCGCTCCGTTCCATCCTATCCTATCCTATCCTAGCCTAGCCTAGCCTAACCTAGCCTAGCCTAGCCTATCCTAGCCTATCCTATCCTATCCTAACCTAGCCTAGCCTAGCCTAGCCTAGCCTAGCCTTTCCATGGTATTATCAAGTCCAAGTTATAACATCTCCATGAAATATTAAGTTCTCTTATCATCCTAAACTCCTGAATCCATTTTTATTGTTTTAAGTAAATTAAAGAAACAATGAGTTCCTACCCATTTCCTTCCTTGCCAGACAGGCAAGATACAGTAACACATTAATGATGATGATGTTGATACTATATTCACAATAATTAAAGCTCATGTTTGAAGATGCTATAAATATAAACATACAATGAAGTCACAGTCATCATTTAATTCACAAGTCAACACAAATAACAGCTGCCATTTCAAACAGTGAGTTATTTTTGGATAATTTGGCACATTAACTCCTTTAGTCCTCCAGAGAATGAGCTAACACACTGTGTTGCACCGAAAGAATTATTTATGGAAAGGTCAGAGTATCCTGAGGAGGAAAAGAATTAAGCACTTCTCCTTACACTAGAAATCAGAAACTAACTGCAGCACGACGTATAAACGTGAGGTTCAGGTGAAGAGAGTACTAGGTCACTCAGAGTTTTCCATCATCTTTACTCAGTGCAAGCATCTCTTATTAATAAAACTTCGGAAAATAAATTATTGAAAGGAAATTTCCAGATATACAGAATTGATGGGCTTTTTGCTATACCGCTGTCACTCATTTATACCAAAACTTAAAATATATATGGACATAAAACTGTGAAGAGGAGTTAGAGGGAGGAGAGAGGAGTGAATCTATCAAAATGAATTGTATGAAATTCTCAAAGAATATATAACAAATAATAACTATAAAAACAAGACCTTCCTATCATAGTCTGTTTTCAAATTGTTAAGAATCCACATGGGTTTGTCTTACCATATGATAAATAAGTAAATAATTACATGTACATATTTCATCCTGGAAACTTAAATTCATTTTTAAGAATGAATTTAGTATGAATTAAGAATGAGGTAAATTTTTAAGAATCAAAATCTTAACTTACTTGTATGTTTAAAGAATGATTTGTGCTAGGTCACTTATTTAAAATAAAGAAAATCCACATGGGTTTGTCTTACCATATGATAAATAAGTAAATAATTACATGTACATATTTCATCCTGGAAACTTAAATTCATTTTTAAGAATGAATTTAGTATGAATTAAGAATGAGGTAAATTTTTAAGAATCAAAATCTTAACTTACTTGTATGTTTAAAGAATGATTTGTGCTAGGTCACTTATTTAAAATAAAGAATGAAAATACAAAGACTATTTCTGTTGGTGTATATATATATTTTTAACCAGTTTTAAGAGTATTATTAAGTTAATTTAATTCAATGATGACTGAAGGGTCAAGGTAATTTTAAATGTACTTTGTTCAATAAGCATAAAATGTTAAACTAAGAGAAGACATGAGGCTAACCTTGTCTCCAATGTAATTTACCAGTCAACAACAATGAAGATTAGAGTATCTGTGCTGTCTCAGCCAGAATCCAGATTGTAAAGGATAATTAAAGGACAAATAAACCTCCTTGAACTGTTCTGAGAAATTTCTCTATACTTCTCTATATGGACTTTTCACATTGAAATCTGGTGTTTGTGGAAAGAAACAACCTTTATGTTTTTATAATTAAATTAGCAAAATTTTTCAATAAAGAAATCTTTCTTAGGACAATAACCTCACCCCATGCCTGAGTCCTGTTGAAGTTCTTGAAACTGAGGACTGAAGCACAGGAGGGTAGGGAAGGTGTTTAAAATTTGTGTTATTCAGTGCTTGGCATTTCCTGATATCAGTGTGAACAGATGGTCTGAATGAGGGGCAAATACATACACTGTGAAGACAGAATATGAAGGCCAGGCGATGACTCTAGTGTTTCTGTGATATTAACGTGCAGTGACGGAACAGCACCCTTCTCCTTTATCCTAAGCAATTATTCTGCCAAATGTAGCAAGTTCTACAAGCAACTCTTAAAAGCTGGATGTTGTTCAAATAAAAGTAAATTTTAAAAAATTCTACCCAGTGTCCTGTGTGGGCCTGTCAAGTCCTCAGCTCTGTGTCACTGGAATGCATACACAGCAGCTGCAAAATTACTTCCAGATTCTGGAGTTAAGCATGTCCCCTGGCGCCTCCCAGGGCTTGCACATTTCTACTGTAATCTCAGTCTCCTTGCACTGATCATTTTTCTTGTTGCTACGATCAAATGCCTGACAAGTAGCAAGGTAAGGAAGAAAAGGTTTATTTTGGTTTAGAGCTGAGGAATGGACATAGTCCATCATAGTGGGGAAGGCACAACAGCAGAAGTACGGGGTGGCTGGTCACATTGTGTGGACCGTCAGGAAGGAGGGAGTGAGACGGAAGAAGGGTGGGTCTATAAAACCCCAAAACTGGAGCTACAGAGATGGCTCAGCAGTTAAGAGCTCTTGTAGAGAGAGGACCCAGGTTTGGTTCCCAGCACTCACATGACAGTTTGCAACTGTCTGTAACTCCAGTTCGAGAGAATCTCTACTGGCCTCTGCAGACTCCTGCACACCCATATTAACATGTAAGTACACACATATGCACATAAAAATAAAAATTCAATTAATTTTTTTAAACCTTCAAGACCTCCCTAGTGACTCATTTCCTCCAGTGAGGCTTTACCTCCTAAAGGTTCTATAGCTTTCCAAAACAGCTGGGACCAAAACAAGAGCCTGTGTAGGACATTTCACATTCAAACCACAACATTCTTCTAACTATGGCTCATTAAGAACAAGTGGGGATTTTAATTCATCTTTATAATTCCTGGACTGATTAACAGATTTTGATCCTTATTTTGCAAGTATTCATAACTGCATTGCCTTTGGTGACAGTGTTAAAGGCTTAGTCAGGCATGGAGCAAGAGTTAGAAGACTTTTTCAGCGTGATGACCTTGAGAGGGTAGAGCTGAGTTAGAGTGCAGGAGATCAGCACTGGAGTCACTCGCTGAACTGCTGTGCAGAAGTGTCACTTTGGACTTCCGCTCCCTGGGAGGATGCAGCTTGATTCAGAGCATCCCCTCTAGGAAAGACAGATGAACTATTTATTTCAATCATATTTAAGGTGCCAGAGGACATTCGACATGACAAGGGCTTGAAGGTCCATGATGGTGAACAGAACACTAAACGTGTAAACTACATTTGACGTCGCATTTCCCTCCTTCTGTTTGCACAGACCCAAGTAGGTACTGAGAGGTAAGCAGCCTGTCCCTTGGCCACCTCATGGGACTGAAGGTACAAACAGTGGACACAGGATCACGTTAGTCAGTTTCCTATCACAGTGACAAAATTCCTGAGATAATCAGCTTAAAGGAAGAAAGATTTATTTTGGCTCAGGGTTACAGAATTTTCAATCTGTGGTCATTTATCTCCTATATTAGCTACTTTTATCTTAGTTAAAACAGAAACACTTGGCAGAAGTAGCTTAAGGAAGGAATGGTTTGTTCTGGAACACGGTGTGAGGGTTCAGCTCATGGTGGAGAAGACATGGCAGAAGGAACATGAGGTGACTTATCACATTATTTTTGCAGTCAGGAAGTAGAGAGAGGTGAAAGCTGGTACTTGGCTTGCTTTCTCATTTTTATTCAGTGCTAGATCTCAGTTCACATTCAGAGTGGGCCTTCCACACTAAATTAAACCTGTCTAGAAACTCACAGACATGCTCACAAGTTTGGTTCCTAAGTGATTCTAAATCTATCACAGCCCCATTGCCTGCGGTTACATTAGTAAAGAAAGTGCCTAGTTGGGGAAATCTGTCCACGGCATGTTAGCCAGGTAGTACAAGAGGTCAAGGCTATGGTCCCAATATCCCGAGACTTCAAGGACACACCCTCTATGCTCTAACTTCATCTAGATCTTACCCTCTAAATGTTCTACCACTTTCCAGTAGTGTACCAGGCTGGGGACCAAACCTTTACCATATGCATATTTGAGTAACACTGAAGATAAAAACCATAGCAATGACTCATCAAGGAAGCAGGCACTGGAGACTATGACAGTTTCAATTTTAAAACTCAAAGGGCTATCACTTGAGAGTAGGAAGGAACCAGAAATAAACAAATCATGCCCTGGGAAGATGGTTCCATGGATAAAAGTGTGAGGACCTGAGTTCAAGTCCCCCAAACAAAAACACAAGTGCCTGTAATCCCTGAGCTCCTATGGAGAAATGGGAGGTGAGAGACAGGGTTATCGCTGGAAGTTCATAGGCCAGCTAGCCTGGCACACACAGCAAAAACCAACAAAGAGGCCGTGCATCCTATAATGAGGTGATGGGACTGGAGAGATGGCTCAGCTGTTAAGAGCATTGGCTGCTCTTGCAGAGGACCTGGGTTCGATTCCCAGGACATGATGGATAAAAACCATCTATAACTCCAGTTGCAGAGGATCCAACGCTCTCTTCTGACTTTTGTGTGCATTACACGACATGGGTGCATGTACATACATCCAGACAATACACTCATACACACAAAAATAAAAATAATTTTTTAAATGAGATGAAAGGCAAGAGCTGACATCCAAGTGTGTCCTCTGACCTTCACACACACACACCATGGTGTGTGCACACGCGCGCACGCGCACACACACACACACAAGAAATAGACAAATCTTCACAAAAACCAATTAATTGCCTTGTATCATCTCCATCCCAGATTAACTGAAGGTTATCTCCCTCCATTAACTATTTAACAGAAGCTAATATAAATCTTTTACAAGATGATAAGAGAGAAATTCATATTCTCAAATAATTTACATTATTTTCATATATGATACCCCACATTTAATAAAAAAAAAATAGATATGCAGTAAAAGGCAAAAACTGAAGATGGAGACAAAAGGTAGAAACAAGTCAGGAAAACAGGTATTAGACTTCTCAGAAACAGAATTTAGAACAGCTTGGGCTGACTAATGAAAAAG